TTATCAACTCTCATTAGGTAGTCCGTCGATAAGGGTCCCACATGCAACGATTCGTCAGGCCGAGACGCGGTCATGATCATCACCATGTGTTTAAATCTCATCCACCAAGCGACGAAACGAATCAGTTTATTCCATGACAAGCCGCATTCTAGTTGCCTTAACAGAGGTGAGGTGACGTCGCGTTACGCTGCCATTACCACTCTCTTGTCTTCGATCAACTCAACGGGTGCGGCGAGTGCTGGCACTTTACTCACTTCCTCTGGCGCGGCGGTCAGAAAAGTCGGGCCGTGGAGCCATACGGGTAATTTATTCAGTGATCTCAAGCCCCGGGAGCAGTGGTCGACTGGGTTGTCCTCAGATCTAACAGATCGCCATTGGTGCACCTTGGTATCTTCGTGCACCACCGTCAGCCGATTGGAAACGAAGGTGCTGAACCTAGTGTTATTGTTGTTCACGTAGTTTATTACAATGGCAGAATCGGTTCAAAGCGTGACGCGATCTTCGGAGATACGGAAGCACTGTCGCAGTTGCTTTTTATGCGCACAGCTAGCACAGCTGCAGTAAGCTTAAGGCGGGGTATGGATACGTACTACAATGGGACGACTGGTGCCTTGGGAAAAGTAGTTCCGTCTTGGGTTCACCGTTCACATGCAGCCAGCATATGTAGGTTACTGTCCCGTATCCCGTCTCAGACGCGTCGGAGAATAGCTGCAATTCGGCCTTCGTCGATTGGCTGCTTCGGTTGTGTCGGCGCGAGATCCGTATCTCACTCAATCTGGTTAGGCCTGTCAACCATTGCTCGAAATCTGCGCGGTCCTGCTCGTCTGATGGTTGGGCCCACTCCGCCCTTTTTTGACATAGCTGCTGTAGGAGGACCTTCCCGGTAACAACCATGGTGCGACGAGTCCAAGCGGGTCATATAAACTGGGGACCGACGATAGAAGCCCTCGCTGGGTGGGGTTCCTATTAGGTAGTTTAAGTTGGAAGATGAATTCATCCGACTCTGCGCTTCATTGCACTCCCAAGGTCGGCTCGATAGGGAGTGGCCGTATGGTCAGGTTGACAGCCCCACTCACTCTGTCGTTTTTGGCAACGTTGTATAAAACCAAGTGTGAATTGGACAACCATTTAGTTAGGCGAAACCCTCCTTTCCCAGTAGGATTTTTAGTTTTACTACGTGTTGCGAAGCTCCTTTAGCGTTATCAAAAGCGCCCAGGAAGATGTCGACGTAGTAGTTATACAGGTCAGATCAGATTAGGTTGCACAGGACTGATAATGGCCACGGCCAATCGAGCGTCCAGATTTCTTTCGGCTGTACGCTCACAAAGTGTGTACTTACCACTGCGAATTGCCTTCAGTACGGCGGCCTTGCTAAAAAGGAAGGGAAAAAGCTCGTCTCCTTTCACCTCAGCGGCAAACAAGGGACAAGACGTTCCATGGTACATTAAAGAGCGTATTCTGGAAAGAGTTTCAGCCATCGCTCATCCAGAGCGAGCTTAAATGCAGTCACTCTTCCCAAATCTTCTAATTCTTTTGGCAACCGGTTCCAGCTGTTCACTACTCTGTTACTGGAGAAGCTAGACCTAACAACCAGGTTTCACCGCTGCTCATGCAGTTTGTACTCGTTCACTCCAGTCTTTTGATGAATAGCCTCTTGGAACATGCTCTTTTTCCTTACTCCCGAGAGCCCCTTCACAATCTTGAAGGTTACCAGTCGAGGTCCTACTGATAACGGTGTGCCCATAACCTGGGACCCGGAAACTTCACCAGTAGTTATAGACGATTGGCATCTGACGGAAGAAATGATTGAAAACCATATGGCGAGCTTAAATATGAACAAATCAGCTGGACCTGGCGGTATTCATCTAGACATTGTGAAACTATTAAGGGGCATTTTAGCTCAACCACTATGTCAGTTGATACAACTAAGCCTGGAAAAAGATATTCTACCACGAGACTGGAAAACATCGGCCGTGGTAGCCCAGGTCAGAAGTAAGCAACTCCGGACCGGCAAGCCTGAGTTGCATTTTTTGAAAGGTGCAGGAAAAGATCATCAGGGCCCATATCTGTAAGCACTTAGTGGACCATTCTATGCTGTGCCCTGCTCGGCATGGATTCTTGAAAACAGGTCGTGTCTCATCAATCTTTTGTGCTTCCTAGATAAAGTAACTCGCAGATTGGATGATGGCGAAAATGTAGAGGTGCGCTACCCTGACTTCAATAGGGTGTTTGACTCCGTGAATCATCACCTACTGTTTATCTAGTTGAAAACCGTCGGCATAGAGGGGCAGATGCATAGCTGGATATTTGACTTCTTAAGTGGGCAATCTTTCTACGTAAGAGTAGGTAGTTCCAATTCTAGTCTGAGGAACATCACTAGTGGATTACCTTAAGGAACGATATTGTGATTCGTCTTAATTTTACTGTTTATAAATGACCTAGTCTTAACGCTGCGGTCGCCCAGCTTTTTCTTCGCTGACGATGTGAAGATCGTAGGGTCAAATGAGCTTGAGGATCTGGCCAAGGACATTGCTGCAGTCCTAAGCTGGGACCTCAAGTGGAACTTGCCACTGAATGCTGGCAAAAGATACCTGCTGTCACGGGCCGTAGAGGGTATCACATTTGGCCGCGAGGTAGGTCCCTTCACTATGGATGTGACGAAAGATGGAAAAGACCTAG